TTTTATTTAAAACATTTTTTCATATCTATGATAGAAATCGAGAAATTCGCGATGGGGGGTGGTTTTTCGCGATTTACTCCCCCCCTATGCGTGCCAAACATTCTTGACCTACACCATCGTGTTCCTCGCAAAACTTTCGATCTAGTTATCTATAAATCATCACTTTGGCCGCAACAAACCAAAATTATTCCATTTCCCTCATTTGACTGGACTATGAGTCTAGTTTTAACATTTTTACATCTGAAGACGAACAAGTGGTACTTTTTTATGTAGGTTGTGACGTTATTTTTGGGATAACGTCCCATTGACACCTTAAAGAATAATTTAATGAATATTGGAAGCTAATCGTAGCCCATGTGGGTTGCTCTAGCTATTGTCCACGTCATATTTCATTATTTTGAGTCCTCAGGGGCTATTTAACCGATGGTTACAGTGATGGTTCACGTTTTGGTTTATAAACTATTTTAATCTAATGAATTGTAGTTATTTTTATTATTACTTATTTTGAAATATTAATGTAAAGAGAGGTAGCAAGGTTGGAAGATTATGTATTTAATTTTGGTAGTAGAAAAAGACTCAATAGGATAAGGAGGAGCTAGTAGAGGAGAAGTAAGAAATATTTGAGGAGCTGTGAAACCATTATGAGGAGAAGTGGGTCGCTAACGTGGAGATGAGGGCCAAATGAAACGTGCCACCCGTTAGAGGATCCATGCTAGAAGACGTTCTAGCCCTGTGAGTGATCATCACTTGATCTGGCCCAGTAATATGGCACTCCAATGGAAGAGATGGAGGTGTGGAATGGGCATTGTGGAGATGTTGTGAAGCAATTAGTTTTAAGTTGAAGAATTAGATATAAGTTTGCAGGCCTTGTGGGGGGAAGCCTGATCAACCTCACCTCCAAGGAAGCACCTAGGTTAAGTCGCCCTTCCACAATGAAATCTAGGAGAGATCGCGTGATGAAGCTACTAATGGAGAAGTGGTTCTGCAAATAAGAAGATTGATTGTGAGATTGGAGTGGGGATAAAGAATGCAGAGCGTACAATTTTGGAGTTTGATAAAGAGAGAAGTAGTTTGGAGCTTGAAGAGAGGAGTTCGTTTTTGGAGATTGACGAGAGCAGTTCGATTCTGGTAATCGAAGGAAGCAGTTAGAAATTGGAGTTCGAAGATTGAAGATGGCGAGAATTATTGGAGGTTGAAGACGAGAACAGGTCCAGGAAGAGGAAGAAACAATCAAGTAGAGTTATGGCAGACTACAAGGAGGTCCCTGATGCATAGAGGAGGTTCCAGAATATCCAGGAACGTGTCGAGCCCAGTTTACGACACCTAAGTATCCTCTGCAGCTCCTGTAAGTCGTATTGAGTCTGATATTTGGTAATTTTTGGTAGTTTTGTTACAGTTTAGAAGTAGAATAATGAAATGTAGGGAATCTTCCACCCTTGGCTTGCTTTCGTGATTTAGTTAGTTAATAAATTCAGTTTAGAGTGTTATAGTTTAAATTATAAGAGATATTGATGATTTTGCTTCGGGTTTTCGAGTCAAGATAAAAATCAGTGTATTTGAGATTAGGGCCGTTAGATTGAGGTTAATTAATGTTTAAATTTTTGAAACGATAGGTAATTATTTAAAACTTGTTCCAGAATTCGAGTTAGAATTATTTGTTTGTAAAATATTTTTCTTTATTGATGATGCAGAATCGTTACAGAATGATTTATGATTTTTGTTAATTGAATAATGAATAAGAAAATTGATTTTGTTTTAATAAATTAAGCATTAATTGATAATTGGTATTTAAATAATTAGTAAAGAAGAGCCTTCAACTCCAGTTTGTTTATTTAACAATTTTGAATACTTTTGTGGGGTTCAACCGAGGATTATTGCCGGCCCTGACCCTCTCTCCACAACCCACATAACTGAGCTCCAGGAGATCCCCTGTCAGGACCTCTTTACCAGCAGCATCTTAATTAAGTTTAGTTTAAGATTTCGTAATTAGTTTTAAGATTTTTGAGAATTGTGAGAGTTTGGTTGGATTTTGATCTAAGATTAGTTGTAAGCTTTGGTCTAGGTTTAAGTTTTTTTTTTGGATTTAGATGTAAGTTTTGCCAGTTTAGTTATTCTGGCGATAAAAATAACTTGGCGCCCGTCGTTTATAATGATTATAAGCGAACCAGGGATGTTAGCTGATAAATTAGGGTCCTGGAGGAAGGTGAATACTGAGTACACCTACCCCAGTGGAAAAGTATCGTCACAAGGTAATCCGATTTTATGACTGATATGGGTCTACCTTTTTACAATAGCGTTATTTACGTCGAAAAACCCACGGGTTAAGTGGTCAATGTTTGGCGCGTGCTCAATTACTTTTTGATAATTGAAACTCCGCACCCTCATCATTGTCTTCGTCTTAATTTTTCGTTTTATTTAAAAAAAAATTCGAAACAAATCTATCAACTTCTTCGTTTTTTTATTTTTTTCTCTCCTGTTAACATGAAAGAGAAATTTCCTCAGAGAACGATGTTAGGAAACCGTTCGTTTCCCACCACTACATGTCAGAACTTGAGCTCCGCCCTACGCTCAGAAACGTCTCTGAATCGAGACCATTCTGCCATCTGACAGCAACAACACGTATCAAAATTTCCGGCCACATTGTCCCATAAGAAATAAACTTCTATTCACGTCTCTCTTCTCTGGCAACGTACAGTTATTCAATCAACAGACTGACTGATTTCCTAACCTCTCTGGTTAGGTTAGGCCCTTGAGTCAACTTTCTTGTGGCAGGGCACTACTAATAGTACATTTCACACCTAGGAAGGAAAAGTAGACTAGCTTAAACCACGTGTAAAATTACAACCTGAGTCGAAGGCAAGGGTAGTATACACGTGGTTTAAGCTAGTCTAATTGTCTTCCCTAGGGCTAAATATGATTTTGCGTCATACCTGTGTGGAAAGTTCAACCCAGTGCCGTAGAAAATTCCCGAAAGCCCCGCATCTATCCTTTAAATTTCTCCTTCACTAATTAACATACGAGTTACTATCTAGTGACTTAAGGAGCCAATCACCTTTCGAGACGTCATCAACTAGAGAATTGCCAATGAACATTAACTGAGTGACCGGTCAAATTTTGGGGGTGATAGTCCAACCTTCATTTTTGGACTTTTACCCGTTGCTTTCTACATCTCGAGGAGAGAGTACGCTTTATTTTTGTGACATTTTTTACTTGAGGAAAACAAGAGTTTACGAGCATTAAATAGTTTCGAGTGAGTTTAATCATGTTCAGAGATTTATAAAGGGTTCAGTTGAACAATCTGTTCCAAACCAAAATGCAATTTATTGAAATTAAGAGTGATTTTGCTAAGTAAAGCCAGAACGAACGTAATTAAGAATCAGACATCTTGAGAGTGAATTTTCTAGAACAAAGCAAGTGTGATATTTGAACTTAAAGACTAAGTACTGTAGTACAACATAAATTCAATGATTTATTTTAGGTTTAGTGAGTTTATATTCTTTTTGTGTGTGGTAAATCCTTATTCCTCCTCATATTCCATCAATCGAGTCTACTATCTTTCAAGCAGATTTTCAGGGCTTCAAGCCACAATAGTTTTATCAGCTGTTGTATGTAGATATATTAAAAAAAACGACTGATTTCTATTCAGTGATGATAAATGTGTACATTCATCATGCAATGCGGTACTGCCAACTTGTGAAAACAGAAAATGTTCAACTTTCGTCTACGGTGGAAATATTTTATAGAAAACTTGCAACTTTCAATCTTTAGAACTCAATATCTTCTAAATAATAAATAACGATTTTTTTGCGTACGACACTAAGGAGTTATATTTTACAAATTTCGTGAGTGACTCTGGTAACTGTTAAATGATTTTCTAACTTTTGTTCATTTACTTAAGTTATTCAATACATAAGCATAAAACATTAAATATACAAATTCATTCTCTTATCACGTCAGTAAGTCAACTGTCTTTCCTTTCAAAACTTGTGAGTGAGATTTCCGAACGTCAGAGGAATTGTAGCCAATCTTATAAATTGAAATGTACAGACATGTAGGAGAGAGTGGGGCAAATACGGACTCAGAGTATTTGTGAACACCCATGTTTGACTACGTTAGAAGAGATGGAGAGACACATCCCCAGTGATTCAATCAGAAGTTGATCCTGAATGCAAAGCCTGACAAACAGTAGTCAAATGACGAGACGTTCGATGATCAAAATACGTCAAAATACTTCATTGTTTTTCAAAAATCTTCCATGATTTTTAAGTAATATAACAAATGTAATCTATGGGGCCTACGAAAACTTTATGAGTAGTGTAAATTTATGAAAAGGATTCATCTGTAACATAAGTAATGATAGGATCCACGCCATCCGTAATTACCTCACGTGCTGTGAGGTAATCCCAGGCACAAAGGTTTTATGAATCAAAAAATGGTAAACTAGCTAAATGTTATTATTCTTTTCGCTGCGATTTTAGTCGTGTGGACCTTTCGGGTTGCACCCAGGCCACTGAAAATTAACTTCGAAAATAAAATATTGAGCACTACAGAAAAATAAGTGTTTCATTTGGTCAATTAATAGGCCCAAGATTTCGTTAACGAAATGCTGGGATTTACGGGGTGGGTAGCTTTTAACAATATTCTAAATCAAATTTGTGCAATAAAAACAAAAGATAAATAAGAAATCATATTTCAACCAAGAAAACAAAGTAAGGCATCTTCTATCGAAGTTATTTTTTCATATTAACGGCTCCGTTTTGTTTGCAAGATCAAGACACTTATTTTCATCATATTGTCACGGAAAGTAAACTTTTTCAGCAGTTTTCAAACTAGAAAGCTGACGACTTTTTTCTCTTAATGAAGGACGATGTTAGACTACCATGTCTTTTTCAGGAAAAAAATCAATTGCTTTCTTCTTTGAGAACAGAAAAAAAAGTTAACTTTCGGCTAAGATTTAGGAAATAATACTTTTGACATAACTTTAATGAGAAAAGACATACCTGACTACTGCATGGAATAGTTTTGACTCTCTAACTCTCAAAGTATCCCTTTCTAGCACCACCATCAAAGTGTCAATGTCGATGTCTGTAAAACCATCTGCATTGAAAGCATCAGTTGTAAATTTATCAATAGTATCAAGACAAACAGCAGCAAGTTGAGGTTCGTCGAAAAGCCTAGCTTGAGTTAACAACAAAAATGCATTATCACTTGTTAAATTGCTTCTTAAAAAATCTACACAGTGTTTTTCTAATGGAGAAACAGCGTATTTTTTCGCAGTATACAAAGTAGTCATTACAGTTTCAGGATCAATTTGGATTTCATCAGTGTAAAGAAATAAAAGAACAGCTAGAAACGCTGTTGGTTCAACATCGGGAACTTCTATTTCAGCTGAAGCTGTTGCTAAAGTTCCATTAAACATTGCATCGAAGACAGCACTTCCAGATGATAGAACTAGTTTGTGTGCTGGTATTCTTTGTTGTTGTGCTCCTCGTCCAACTACAAATCTTACATCTGATAGAATTTCATTGTTGAATAGAAAAGCAAACCTTTCTTTCATCGTTGTTTTACTTCCTTGCCAGTTATACAGTTGAGGAGGTGGATTGTGATTATTTTCAGATACTGATCTATCATACAGACAAGGTTCAGGATGCGAATTACTGGCCGAATTACTTGGGAGTCTGAAAACATATTTTTCATTTCATTAAAAGCTATAAAATATTTAATATGTTGTATAATGTATGAATAAATATGAATATGTCTTGAAAAAAAACATTCAATATTATCAAAAAGAATTTACTAAGAATACATTTTTTTAACCCTTAACTTAAAGTAATATGTTACTACCTGAAATTCGTATTGATTTGTAATACAAAAGGGGAATAAATTGTATGAGATACGTTAACTAAGAAGAGAGGCTAATGAAAACCAAAGAAGGGGTAATATTCTATGAATTGTTATGAAAGCTAAAGAAAGGGAAAATGCCTAAGGAAAGGAGGTTTCGTAATAGGAGAAGAGCATGCGTGAAGAAACGAGTGATGTGCGTGAGGTAAACTTGTGTTGAGAGTTACCAAAAAGAGGGCAATTTTATTGAAGGAAGCTAAGAGAGGGCAATAGGTACAAGGGCAATATTTGAAGAGTGGAGGTAAATTAGCCAAGAGTTGTAGCAAAAGAATGGTAGCATATAAGCAAAAAATCTGTATAAAAGATATGCGAAAATTGAGCAAAAATGTTAGTCTGAATCGAACACCAGATCCTTGTTGGTCGAAGCTTGCTCTGTTTACACATCTTTTGCAACCGACATTTTATCAATTGTATGCAAAACTTTGTATCAATTCACTCTACACATCTGATAGATCAACGAATATTTATAGTTGTGTCAGCATTTAAAAAGCCAACGTGAGTGATTTATTCATTTACAACTGATCTGTTTGTATCTTTGACCTTGATATTGTCTTTTGTGTGAGTATGCGACTGCTGTAGTAGTGAATCAACATCCTCACATATCCCATTCTTCTACACTAGCTAATCTATGTCGTAAATACCACCAAACTATGAAACTGCGATCCAGTTACGGGACGTAACATAATTTTTAGTATCAGAAGTTGGATATCTCTCAAAAATAAAATAATAATGATGAATAACGGAAATCGGTTAGCCCGAGTGGTTCGAGAAGGATAGAAGAATTATGCCTGATACACTGTTACAAGACGAGTGGAATCATTGTCCATTTCGGACAAGTGGCGCCATCCATGCCGGACAGAGCAAAGTTACAAGACAGAAACTTATGTCGCCCTCTCGGGGAGAACACTAACTGTTCCAGCAACCACGCCATCTATCGCCGACAGGCACGACCCCTATGACCTATACTCCAGGGACCTGTTTTACCAGCCAAGGTCGAATGACGGTCAGCTTCCAACAACATCCGGCAGAACAGCGCTTCGGTCGAGCCAAGAGGGCGTAGTCAACGCATGGTGGGGGTCCCGCCAAAACAAGACTATTACCTCGCCGCACGACACGGGAGCAGCCAGTTAGCAGTTAGTCGCTTGACGGTCGCGAGTTAGTCGCAAGACGCCGACTAGTACGTAACGACGCCAAAGTATAGAGCGCACGCAGTTAGCCGTGTAATCACGCTCTAACCACAGTCAAATAAGTACATTGTTCCCGAGAACGGTGAATCGTGTCTCGCGCACAGTTCCGATCGCCGAAAGCATCGCAGCTGAATCCAGGTGAACGAGTTGGACGGACAAATTCAGGTCGAGGCGCCAGAGCAGTCTCCCGCACAACTTCCTTCATCGAGAGAGTCGCAGTACACATCGCCGCCGCAGAGAACTGGAAAGAGGCAGTCGAAGGTCGTCCAAGGGCAACAGCAGCCGACGGCAGGAATCGCTGCGGTATCCCTGGATTCTTCGTTTGATATCACCACGGTGAGCTCGTACATAATTTTTGTACCTTCTGTAAGGGCATAGGGCGAGCTGCGCCATGATTAATTGTAATATACGATTATAATTACTATCGATATCACTTGGCCCTTCTGGCAACTGTTACGTTCTTGTTCCTCTCGTGCCCGGCTAGTATTCCAGAGATTGTACGTTTATTATAATCTATTTGAATTATTTATATTTATTGTTATAATCTCAATTAGACTGTTAAGTTATATACTCTGTAATTCATGCGAAAAGCAGGTCCGCTTCAAGTCGCGGATTGGTAGAATCCTGCGTACAGGTGTATTAAACAATAAATAAACAGATTGTTCATATTACCTATCGTGGAAGACAATTCCCAAGGGATAACGTCCTCCTGTCCCTTTTGCATGTGTACTTGCAGGTTTTAGCTGACGGCTAAGGAATACTGGAAATAACGTACATTAATTGCATTAACACCGCGTGCCGACGGATCGGTGTTACACGCCGACGCTGCGTGGGTCTTTTTGTCGCTTTGCCTCGTCGTTATCTCGATCAACTTAATTTATATAATTCGATTAATATCAATTAATAATCAATTTAATTATAATCGCTACTTCTTTTCCTCTCGCTCATCGTTGTCTCTCCTTAACCACACCAGCTCTACCACCGAGGGAGATAGAGGTAGGTGAGAACACGCATGACTATATGCATATTATACGCAGAAATCACCAATCAAAAATCTAATTGACTTCTTTGCCCGCAAAGACCCTGGAATACCCAAGCTATTCCTCATTCAAATTCATAAGCTCTCGAACCTGGCGAGGACAGAGACAGATAGAGAGAGAGAGACCTCATACGACCTTTCCCGCGCTTCCTAGTGCATCCCCCATTCCCTAAATTAACTATCCCTTTTCCCTAGAGATCCTTCCCAATCTCCACAATATCCAGGAATTCCCTTATTCACTGTATGAGTATTCTATTTATATTCTCTCCCTCAGATCTCTCCCCCGACTACCTTTACACCCCCTTCAACCATCTCCATCTCTTTCTCCTGGCGCGGAAATAAACCTCTTCGCCAGGAGACATTTCAACACATAGCACAATAGCTAAAAAAGCAAAAGAGCAAGTAGGATTAACAGAACAGCAAAAACAAGAATTAGAACAACGTCAGCATAAAATTTGGAAATTCAAATTATTGATTTCTTATGTAAGTATCTTTGTGATATTCATTATAGAATTAGTAAGAATTCATCAGAAAGTAACTGATGACAGCCGAGGCTCGCATAGCAACAATAAAAGGAATAGAAATGGAAGCACCGAAACGTGTAATTAGTGGCTTGAGACCAGAATACGAGTTGAAGGCACCTAAAGACAAAGATTTAGTAAGCACAATTCAAGATTCAATACCGTTGGAGAAAGAAACAAAATTGAGGAAAGAGCTGCATAGAAATTGTTTTAAGAAAAAAATGATAAGGAGAGGTAAAGCCATCAATACAACAAGGAGGCTCTTGCGGAAACAGAATATACAACGTTGCAAGTGAGGATACACTGATAGGCTAAAGCATAGAATACACACAACCGATGATGTACCTATAAATATGAAGCAATAATGATACCCACCAGAACTAAAAATGAAATCAATAGATAAGTTCAAGAACTGATAGATAATAAGATAATTCATGCATCACATTCACCCTACAATACACCCTAATGGAAAGTTCTGAAGAAACCAGATGCTAGAGGAAATAAGCGTTGGCATATGGGATTAGATTTTTGAGCTTAGAATGAAAACACGATTGGTTATGCATTTTCTTTACTACAGATAAGTGACATATTTGATCAGGTAGAGCATGCAGAATATTTTTAACTTCCCAGTGGGAAGTTATAGTAATGGGTCCAATTTTGCGAATGAAAGGTCCCCAGAGTCGAATACGATTGTTTTCCAGTGAACGTCTGTGCGTGTGTATGTACGTATGTGCGTTCGGAATGATTTTTCGCCTCAATTATCTCGAGAACAAAAAATGATATCGATGTGGGACCGATTGCATTCGACGCGTAATTGCGTAACTTAGAACTGGAAAAGTTTTCAGGAAAATCGGTAAAGCCATTTTTTAGGAGAATCAAAAAACTGGAAAAAAAGGAAATTACTTGGATTTTGCAATTTATAAATTATACCATTTTTCAGACAAAATTTCAAGATCATTGCAGAAATATGAATATTAAATGATTGGAATACTTGTATGGATATATGATGACAATATTTCATCGAAAAAAAAAATTTTAATAAACAAAATCAGCAATGAAAGAATTTTAAACTCGTGTCAGGATTGAGAAAACAGCATTAAAGACGCTATAATAATCGTCAATCACATGGAATTGTGTCCATAACAATTGAACATTGTTACTAACAAATGATTATTGATCATAGCAATATTTAAATAATAAGTATTAAATTGTAATAAACAATAAAAAAAAGGACCCTTCCTATATATATGAGTACTTTTAACGCATAATTTTTTCTTCTACTGAAATGAAGTAACTAACCATATCAAATGAATAAAAACAGACTCATTTCGTTTATACCAATTCCATTTGTTATAAAAAATGGAAACGGGTTTTATTCGAATTGTTTTTTCATTTTTTCCACTGGGAAGTTGGTCGTGTGGACCTTTCGGGTCGCACCCAGACGACTGCAGAGCACTGATATTTTAATTTTTGATTTGGCTTCAGAATTCCATCAGATTAAATTGCAAGAAGAAAATAGACACAAAACTGCGTTCTCGACAGCTTTAGGTCATTATGAATTTTTAGAAATGCCATTTGGTTTACGTGCAGTTACAGCAACATTTCAGCGACTAATGAATAGAGTATTAACTGAGTTACTTGAAACAGTAGTAATTGTGTATATAGGTAACATAATTGTCTTCACTAAAGATTTAAATGAGCATTAAGTTAAACTACATAGAGTAATGTCGACATTCAGAGAAGCAAATTAAAAATTACAGCCAGAAAAATGTGAGTTGATGAAAAGAGAAGCATGTTATCAGGGACATATATTAAGTGAAAATAAGGAAAATATTTTCGTACTCCTAAAAACTACGACAATTTCTTGGTTTAGCAGGATATTATAGGAGATTTATATTTAGATTTTCACAAATATTGACCGACCACCGGTTGATTTGATAAAAAAAGAAGTTAAATTTTAGTGGGGCGAAGAACAGGAGATGGCTTCTAATGCTTTAAAGGAAACATCGTGTACAGCACCAGTGTAACAG